AACACTGTGGTGTCCTTCATGGTTCCAGTCAGTGCTTCCAGGCCGATGATGGAGAAGAACAATGTGGATATAGGTGCCATCACCTGCGTTTCAGCTGAGTATCTTGGTGACCCGTGGATGAAAGCAACCGGTTCTTGGCGGCTGGGGGTGGTTGGTGGATCAAAAGTTTTGAATTTCAATCATTTTCCAAATGTTCACCCATTAAGGGAGAAAGCTGCTGAATCTCAGCTGCAGATTGGTGTACTGGAGAAATTTTTGGTGTTTTTCTACTACGCCTTGGATGTGGGTATTTACATTCTCTGAGCGAACACCTAAGGCAGCACAGGCTGAGGTGGAAAGAATCCTGGCATCTTGTGACACATTGCCATATCCACCACATGATGAGGAATCTTTCGTTTTGATTGGGTTTTGATTTCTCGAATTTTGTCGTGGTATATCTCAATAAAGATGTAAGTCTAAATGAAACACTATCATGGGGATTAATCGTTGCTTTAAGATTAAATTCGCCATGGGTCCCCCGAATATGAATTGACTTTTTGGGCATGTCGTTCCTCGATGGTACCAGCTGTCTATCCAATTCCTTTATACTTGCAGGACCTCGGGATTCGCTGGAATGATGAAAAGGGTGGCTTCGAGCAGATCCCTGATCAGCCAACTTTGAGGGGTTACTGGCTGCGTCGTAAGGGTCGACGTGTGTGGATCCAGCCAGGGGGTTCCCACTGTTGCTTTGACAAAAAAAATGGTCAGTACTATTGCCCCCATGGCCCTGGTTGCGAATACTGTATGAAAATCAACAACATGCCCCCAGAAGAAGAGCTGTCACCAACTTTGTCCCTTGGGTCGCCCTGGGCATCCACGAGTTCTGACTGTTGGGAAGATGATGGTGATCATGGCTTATCGGGTGGCCACTTGGATTCAAACTGTACCCCAATTTTTAGTTCATGCGAAGACATACCTTACTTCTGTTGGAACCCTATAAATGTCATTGAAAAACAGCATATATATAACACCAAACAGTAGTTTCAGCTAAATCCCGCGGCCCAGGTGACGTCGATCAGCAGCTGGCACCCTGCCTCTGGGAACATGGCATGGCGGAATGGCCCAGCTCTTTGGATTAAAGCAGCATCTTTCCTGACAGACGGTTGCCAATTTTCATGGAAACCTCTTTGTTATTGGATCCCATGTTCAAGTTGTTATTCTTTTAAGGATGGTGACCTTGATTCTCTGTTTTCAATTTTACAGGCCCATCAATTTCGATGAAAAAACGCTAAGAAACAAAGTGCAATTTTTGTTTCGGAGCGGGTCCCTTTTTCTCCTTTCTGCCTAGGTGATTTGGATTGGGTTGACCCTGCGCTCTGGGAAAGCTTATCGAATGGATATTGGCCAAGCCCGTTGGATTAAAATTCTTGTTTCTGAGAAAATATGAAAACCATTGCTGCAAACCATTGCTGCAAACCATTTTCGGAGCATGAATCATCTAGACATGTCCAGGTAGGTTTCTTTTTTTGGCCCTAGGTGAATGGGAGTGGACGGACCTGGATGCCTGTTTGGAGATTGCCACAGATGTCTTGAAAGTGACCTCACATCCCGAGACTGAGAAAAGCCCCTTGAATAAATGGTCCATATTCGTCTTAAAATTTTGGGGTGATGTTTGATGCATAAATAGTCGGAAAATGCAATTCCTATTCCGGCAAATGCCTAGGTGATCCGAACCGTTCTGACGAAGTGCCTCCGGCCACCCACAATTCCAAGGAGCTTGCAGCAGAGGATGGGATTGTTCCAGCTGGGCCTGAACAAGTTGCCGCTTCCAAGCGTAGTAGTCATGTGTTACATGAGGGCAGCATTACCACCCTTATTGTTTTGATACAACTCAGCTAAACCAAAATCTTTTTGTTGGCTGGAATTTCTATCGGCATTTGTAAAACAAATTAGATGATGAAGCCTCATGGTTTCTGTAAGCCTCTTAATCCAAGTAAGGAACAGTTTTGGAACACTGACGATGAGAAAGTGATCAATGGTCCCGACTTTGCTGGCGATGGTCATGGTTTGTTAGCCCCTGGTGACCACGGGATTGAAAGTGCTGCTGCATTGATGCATGAAATCCCCAATGCTGATGCGGCCCAGGAATCGTACAATGATTGGTGGCAGCAGCTTTGCACTTATGATTGGTCTTCCTTCCCTGACTCTTGGTGGGAGGAAACGGATCCCTCTTCGTGGGAGGAAAATGAGAACCAGGTGGATCCCAACAACCCTGAAATCGATCTTAGCTTCCCTGAATCTTGGTGGGATGACCCAGTGGAACCTTCTTGGTGGGAGGAAGCCGAGAACCAGGTGGATCCCAAAAACCCTGACGATTTCCAATTGGAAGTAGAGCAAGCTATGGCAAAGTTTCTGGACCCCGCCCAACAGGACTGACTGCATTGTTCCATTTAAGAAACCTATTTGAAATCCAATTTGGGGGTTGGAATTTAGACCTCAATTTTTGTTTCGTAGGAGGCTGCCCCGACACAGTTGGGCCCTAAGTTTCACTTATGCTTGAATGTATTTTCCCGGATATCCCTAATCTGTATTTTGTATTTAGGCCTGGTGCCAAACCCTTGGCCAAAGACAGCAAGGAGAAGGACCACGGTACAGTCACTGCAGAATCTCAAACATCCCAAGTCCCCTATATTCAAAATTCTTCATGTCCTTGATATACAACTCAATAAGAACTTGTGTCTGGTAGGATTCCCTCTCAAGATACATTCAGATATGGATTAGACCCCACATCATGTGCTACAATGATTGTATACCTATGGCATTAAAAAATAATCTATCTATCTATCTATCTATCTATCCATCCATCTATCTATCTACCTATCTATCTATCTATCTATCTATATATATATATATATATAAAACATGAAATTTGACCATGGCGCATACAGTGGCCCATGGCATCAACGTGCCTCCAAACTTTGCGATCGATGCAGGAAGTGTGCAAAGAGCGGTCCAGTGAAGGTCCTGCAGCCAGTTTGCAAGTTAGACCTCTAGAATGGTGTGTTATAAGCTGTTGGCAACTCATTCACTATTGAGTGTTTGCTTTCAAGGTTAACTTCTCAAGAACCCCGATATCTAAGGCACCCTTTGAGCTTGACCTGACCTCTACGCCAGTTGAGTCGTCGATCCCAGAGGCTGTGCTGCACCGAGTCTCAGGAAAGCAAGCCCCCCCAGCACCCCACAAGCAACGCTTGTTGGTTGCAGCTGCTAAGGAGGCCAAAGCTGAGGCCAAAGGAAAGGCAGACCCTAAAGAGGCGAAAAAACCCAAAGCAAAGGCTAAGGGGAAGGCCAAGTGTAAGGCTAAGAGTAAAAAAGAGGCAAAACCTGAAACTAGCCCTGACACTCCTGGATCTACCGATGCTGTTGCAGAGCCGCCCCAGCCAAAAGAGAAGACCTCCTATATGTTGGCAAAGGAAAAGTTCGTGGACAAGTTTCTAGGCAAATATGTTGGTTCAAAATGTCTTCAACTAATACAAGTCTTTTTTCGATAGCCTTTTCATCTTCATAAACCAGCTTAGACCTGTTAGCCCTTGAGTTGAGTTTCATGCTACCAATCCAAGCATGAGGCTGAAGGAGCAAGGCGTTCCCCACAAAGAACGTGAGCAAAGGCTAGGCGATCTCACAAGCAAAGGTTTCGATTTCAGCACTTGAACTTTTTTGATGGCCCACTGGGACAATGAAAATCTTCACCCAACTAGGACATGTCATGTTACCATATATCCCAACCCGCAGGTGGAAAGGCAGCGAAGAACGTGCGGAGATTGTCAATGGCCTGTCTGCTTCTGAACAGAAGCGTCGACGTTACTCTTAGTTTGCTTTCCGTGTGCACCATATATATGGGCTTTGAAATTCCAAATGCTTACAAATGTTGGTTTTCCAGCGTGGAAGCTATGATGTAGATACTTGCTATGGCCGTCTGCGCCCACACGAAAGAGTGTATGTGCGCGCCATATCCTTCTTTGGGGTATATCTGCGAAGCAGACTGGTTTGGAACCAATCAACTCTTGACTATCACATGAGTTTGGGATGACGATGTGTTCGAAACAAGACTGCAACTTGTGCCGCCTGTCCTCCATACATCCTCCCAATGCAATGCAACCAGCGCAGTGCAGATTTTGGACTGAACCGTGCAATGCCCGATCCTTGGTTCAAGCCGAGAGGGAAAGAAAAACTTTTTGACCTGATGTGATTCTAAGTTGGCATTCTAGACCAGTGGTACCAAGCTATCTTCAGGCATTACAAGTGCCCATGAAATAGATACACAAAACTGCCCAGCTTTAGAAGGTGAAGCCATGCGATACTCTCAGCTTGCAGTCCTCTTGACATGCCTCATCAAGAGCTACTCATCTCCACTATGATTACAACAAATTTGAACTCCCCAAACAACAATGGTATGTCAAATCTCTCGCTTTAAAAGTTGTCATTACAAAAAGGTGGAATCATTTATATCCTATAATAATATACTATATATATATATATTCGGCTCTCTTTGACTCTTCCTCTCGATCTTTCTCTCTATCTCTATTTCTGTATTTGGGTCCCGTGGGATGCCATTGCGAAGCTTGTGTCTGAGGCCTTGGTGAAGTCGACGATTTGCAAGCTGCTCATTTTCTAGAATGCTTCGCAGGCATTGGTCGTCGGGGTTATCAAAGCAACCTATTGGTTTTACTGGGTGAACCTTGGGCCCTTGATGGTCGTTGTCTATCAACATTTTTTGCACAGGCATTTTTATGCTGCAGACAACACATACGAGTCACAGCGCATGTTTTGCCAACAGAGAAATACATGTATGATAAAGATGGGTAGTAACAGGTACATCCATGTCCAAAATAAGTATATATATATTTATATGTCAAGCTTTGCATGTGCATACATACATGCGCTCAGTCTCATTGCATGCCTGGCCACGTGCAGCGCATGCAGGCGACCATGTACTCCACAGTGGCGTCCAGCTGGAAGGGATGAAATCGAGAGCTTTGGACGTACCATGTCTCCCATTATAATTGGTTTATTAGGAAACTAATTCATTTGGGCCAATTGGTGAAGATTCCACTGAGTCCAAGTGTTCCTTTTCCCTTTCCGTTGGGCATTTATTTGAGGTAAGCTACTCGCGGAAAATGGACCTGACTACGCAGTTTGGGTTTATCCTCGCTGTGAACTATGCAACTCGCTGCAGATTATAGCTGTTTGGGAGTCAATTGGGCCCTTTGAAAACACAAGAAACCCATGGATCCCCATAAATATTTGGCGAGTGAGAAGATCCCAATAGTGCTTGGAGTTTGCTGCCCTGTTTGCTGGTGAAGCATTGGTGGTTGCTTGACAATTTTAGTTACTTGATCCTTTACTGCAGTGGCGGTGTAAGGTGAGACACCTCATTCGTGGAGGTGTTGCATGGTTCGCTATGCCATGCAACTCCTGGGTTTTCATGCCACTTGACTCGATATCACCCCTGCATGTTGTTTCTGGGAAGGCGTGGAACACATCTGTATTTATATTTATATACATAATGCATCATACAATGTATGGTACGTGTTGCGATGAAGACCAAACAATGTTTTGAAAAGCAAACTCTCGAAAAAAAAAAACCACATTCCAGCACTTTTGATTAAGATGTAGCCAACACCGATCCCCAGACTTGATCTTCACAGCCATGAATCACTCTGCGCCAAAGTGGCTCTGCGCCGAGGTCGAGGGGATCGACGAAAAGGTGCTTGCTGAGGGTAAAGGGTGCCACGCACCTGAAGTCTACAGCACTGGGCAACCGCTTGGCCCGCCGTCTTTGTTACCTGCTAGGTTCTCAGCGCGAATGCTTCAAAAATGATGAAGTAGTTAAAGAAAAATCCAAAACATTCTGTGACCTTTTTTGGTGAGGCTGGAGCTTTGCCACAAATTGGGCATCTTTTGGGTTATCGAACAGCCGACTACTAGCCTCCTGTTCTTTTACCGTCCACTGCGGCGACTCATGAAACGTCACGGTGCCAAACGTGTTGGGTGTTCTCTTGGAGCATTGAATGCCAACACAACCAAACCAGTTGCATAACTGCAAATCAGTTTTTCACAAGAAAGAAATGTTGAACACATTCTTGTGGATAAATGTCGGTTTACTTTGTTGCATCTTAGGTTTTCTTGTGGGGAACAGTGCCATTTCTGGGTGCCTTCAACATCCGGCCCACTGCGTTGAGAAGGCATCTGGTTTTTATTTCCCGAACCATTGCGCCCAAGTTGCTGGATCGCTTCAGCTGCCACAGGCACCAGCTCCAGAAGATTCGCAACTTCCTCAAGCTGAACACCACCCACATCTATCAGGACAAAAGAGGTCGCACCCGTTGCGCCCGGGCCCCACACGGGGTTGGGCGTGAATCCGATCCCAACAACATATCGAAACGTTTTTGGTTTAGTTTGGGAACTATTATTGGTGGAACCCCCCTTATATGAAAGTCTTGAACACAACCATGATGACAAGAGTGAATGGGAAACAACTCCAACCAGCTCATCGGATAATTATTTCACAATTTTGACTCATGTCCCGTCAGGTTTTAAACTGCCAGCTACCACCCCGATCCATAAACTATATCAGTGGGAACAATATCACAAAATTCCCAATTCTTTGAATTTGGTCGTTTTTTTTAAAATGCGCATCACCATGTCATACATATACCCACGAGTTTTGAGAGATAGATAGAAAAACCAGTAGAAACATAAACAAATACACAGATATGTAGGCAAATCGCATATGTATGTTTACATATATATATATATTTATACATATGTATATATATATACATACACATATGTATATATGTATCAATATATATATATATGTATATAGATCTATCTATCGATTGATCCCCCCTTTCTTCTTCATTTCACGTATATGTATGATGCATGTCTCCCCCACGGCCAGCACCAAGGCTGGAGGGACTGACTTGAAGGCCACGCAGAGCTATCCTGGACTTATGGGTTTGAAGGTGCCTTTCCCTTATCCGTCTTTTCCGCGGGTGGATTTACACAATCCATGTATATAAAAAGGCAAGTTGCAACTCGATATGCCCGTCTTTTGTAGGCATTGATATCCAGCTATTATGTTTTCAGTGGCCGTAAAATTATATCCCAAGTGTGCCATTCCGATGGGTCCAGGTGGCAGAAGAAGTGAAGCGCCACGTGGAGCAACTTCCAGCCCAGCGCCGCCCTACCAATGTGCAGGGGATTTCTTTTGAGGATTATGGGGATGACTCCAGCGATTCTGGTCTGGAATCCATTCTCTAAATCTAACTGGTCGCATGGGCCAAAATGACTAGATATATATGCCTCAATTCGGCTTTGGGATCCTGTGTTGAGGAATGGTGGATCATCAAAACAGATATAGCGATATGTATAAAATGGGAAAACTTTTGAGACCACAAGTTTGCTTGGAGGCGTTTTCAAAATCACCATTCCTGTTTGATGCAGGACGTATATGGCTCCAGATAGCTCCAATTGGGGGCCTAAATTCCACATGCCCTTGGAAGATGGGGAATATGCTTCAAAGACAAACCTTTGGAGCTTTGAACTGTGCTAAACCGCCGGGAAACTGTGCCAAAACGTGGCAAACCGTGTCACCGTGTGTGTGTGTGTCACATCGTGTCACAGTGTGCTGACAGAAATTATCTAAAGTATGATATGTTTGACAAATGTGTCAGACCGTGTCAGACCGTGTCAGACCGTGTCAGCGGCTGTATACGGGACATGAAACCGTGTCAGAGCGTGTCAGCGCGTGTCAGCCCATACCACCCCTGACAATGTCTTGTTTTAGCTGAGTTTGGGTCTGTTGGGGTCACGTGCATCTTAAATGTGGCCAGGTGGCTTGTGTTTCCATTCGTTTTGGAGGAAAATTTTGGGTCTCAAGGTCTGGGTGTAGAACTTTGTTCGCCATGGGGGCTCCTGCTCCTGAACCTTCCAAGGGCAAAGGAAAGCCTTTGTCCAAAGGTGACATGGTTGCTTTGAAAGGAAAACTTGCGGCTTTGAAAGGCAAAGGCAAGTTGGTTGGAAAAATGGGCGGGAAATGTGAAAGTGAGAAGGGCAAGGGTCAAGGTGTTGCTGAAAGTGCTGTGCCCAAAACCAATGGGATGCCAACAGAGATCTCCACTAGCGGGGTGACTGAACTGGTCAAACCTGCAGCCCCTGCAGAAGCTCCTGATTCTCGTATTTGCTAAGGTATATATAGCCTTTGTTTTCAAGTTTTTGGTTCTGCAAATATCTGGGGGTGTTACCATTTCAATTTCTGTTTGCCGTGACTATTTTTTAGGGACCTTCGCGTTGCTTTCTCCGAGGCTGGCTCCACCGCGAAGGTTGACACCGAGGCAGCCAATCAGGTCAACTTGGGGGCCCCTCCAACTATGTTCAGTGGATATGGGGAGGTCACAGAAGAAGATCTTGAACACCCACCTGCCAAAGTCTTAGAGGAACATGAGTTGGTTGTGAAGCGTTTTCTGGAGAAGTTGACTCAAAAGGATTTGGTGAGACAAGTTGTTCAAGCTTCCAAGAACCCTTTGTTTGACGACTTCTTGAAGCAGCGTGGCCGATCCCAAAAATTTGGTTTGCAGGGGAATACCATCCAGGATATTTGCGAGTTCGATGTTTGGCTGAAAAAAAAGGCACTTAGTGATTTGATGCCTTCCATGCCTGGTGCGCCAGCTCCCGAGCCAGCAATGCCCAAGCAACCCGAAGCGCCCAAGCCAGCAACGCCCAAGCAACCCGAAGCTCCCAAGGCAACACCGCCCAAACCAACCCCGCCGTCCGCAGCTCCCAAGTCTTGTGCGAAGCCATCAGCTCCGCCCTCAAAGACCTTACCTCCAGATGCGATCCTTGAACTTTCACCTGAGGAAAAGAAAGCCTATGCAGGTTTCTGGAGCAAGTACAAGCCACCATCCTCAGCTTATTCCCCCACAAGCCCAGCCTCAACACCTGTTGCATCCCCTGCTGAGCCGTCTCCGAAAGCCAGTGCTGGTACCATAGTCACACCGGAATGCAAGAAGCGCTTGGAGTTGACTCCCGAAGGACTGGATGTGTTTCAGCTTCATCCTTTTTTGGTTGTACATTTATATGTATATGCATTTGTTAATGTATATGTCTATATGTGTATGTGTATGCGCATATGTTTTTGGTGTACATGCGTGTAATTTCAAGTATCTCTAAATATGTATGTATATATACATATTTACATACTGTTGCATGTGTGCGCACTTTGCCTAAGCATATATTCGGGATCAGGGCCCATATTTTTTGGCCCGGACATACTGGCGAGAAAACCGAGAGGCAAATCGGTATTGTTTTACAATGTTGTATGCAGCATGTACTTTCTAGTTCCACAACATATGATTGTATACCCAACGAAAACCGGCCAGGCCAAAGATTCTCCGGAAGAGCACTTCCATGATGTCTGACGGAACTGGGGCAGTGCCAATGGACAAGCTGGTCGACGGACAAGGGAAGACCAAACGGGCAAAGAACTTAGATGCGTACACAACCATTTGTTTGGGCACCCATCATCCTGACTAGATCTGGCTAGTTCAAGTTTGATTCACATGAGGTCAAAACTTTGACACAAGAAGATGCTGAGAGAATACAGGCTGGTTCTGTCAACACCGTTATAGTTGGTGCTTTCCAAATGTTCAACAACTTATCTATATTGGCGACATGCAGGCAATGACATGCTTTGAAGACCTCCCAGCAGACGAAAGAAAGAGACAAAGAGAAGCCCTCCGAAGGAAGATGATGGGCCCAGGCAGGTTTTGCAGGGTCATATTTCCCAATAGTTTTTGATTAGCTATCCATCATGTGCAAATACAATACTTTTTCAATCATTCACTTTTAGCATGCATATTTATGTGCATGTCACTGGCACTAGCCACGCAAGGCCTGAAGCCTGGGTTGCTGCAAAAGTTTAACGCAGCGCATACCCCTGACCAGATTCGCTTTTCTCAAAGCGTTCATGCTTGACCCAACCATGAACAGCATAGAGGTGGAGTCCGAGTATGTAGACATGAGTGTGTCTGAAGATCGAAACAATTGGGTTCAGTTGCCGTTGGCTGAAATCCGAAAAAAATACAACACGGATGCCGACAAAGCTTTCATTGACCAGGTGATCGCACAGCAAATCGGCACGAACCACCCACAGGATCCCCATGGTGAATTCCCAGACTGGAAACTCTATTGGATCTTCAAAGAAGGGGCTGAGTCGCATGGCAGCAACAAACATATGAACCACCGTACCGTTGCACGATCCCACGTCCCTGCCAACAAAGCAGCAAATCAGTCCATGGCCGACCACTTTACCACTGTTGCAGCTGGGTTTGGAGGGAAGGGACCGACAATGCCCACCACGGGAAAGGGTGCTGGACCACAGACCAGCAGAAAGGGAAAAGGAAAGGGATCAGGAAAGGCCACCGGGAAGGCCAACAAGGCGGGACACACACATACCATGTGTAGTAGTTATACATGGACCTATCTGACATGTATCAAATGACAACCGTGTCACAAAATAGAATTTTGGACCACCACCCCAAGCCCACCTTCATCTTCCTCATCATCCGCTGACTCATGTAGCAGAATGCAGATCCACCAAGGATAAAACCAATGATCCAATCCTCGGATTGCGGCAGGTCAAAACCCCAGAAGAACTTGAAAAATCACAGTTTGATACCAAGCTGGAAAAGTGCCGTCCTTACCTTCCATCCCCAATCACTGTGAACCTTGAAAGCCTGAAGTGTTTCCAGCCCTATTTTCGAGTTCGAACCCTATATTGGGCACTTTAGGATCAACAAGTTTGGTGCCCGAGCCCGACGAGTTGCTGAAGGGTTGTCTTCAAGTGGCATCAAGCACCAGGAGGCGCCATGTTTAAGATGCAAAAAAACTTTTGCCTTGAAGTTCAAGCCATACGTTACCATTTGAAATAAACCAAGATAAATCAATCGAGGTAGAAACACATCCATTTATATATATATATATATAGATGTACATATTCAAATAGATATAAGCTATACCTATAAGGGCTCATATACTGGATATAAATACATGGCCCGTAAATCATTGTGCGAGGCATCCATTGCGAGCTTGGGTGACATCTACAAGAAGTGCACAGATCTTGTGCAGCAGCCATGTTCCCAGATCCCAGCCGTCATTTTGGGAAGTGCAATCACAGTTCACATATTGAAATCTAGCGGATCGATTTCGGGATTTCAAGGCTTTTTGCATCTTCGGTGATTTCAACTATAGTTCCAATCAATGCAATAACCCAGTACTTCGGGTCCTGTGCCCTTTCGTAGTATATTTTCCTTATCTGAGGGACCGGTCTATATGGGCCAAACGGTCAAACCCAAACATTTATATTTACTTCCCCTTGTTCCCCCCCAACAGTGCTATCTACTCCAAGGGTGACGGATGAGATCTTCAAGGCCACCCCCTTCAACGAGTACAAGGGCATCATTGACAGGGAAGAAACATACTTGGAGGCTTTGGGGGAGCAGTTCGATCTTTTGGGGAGCAATTCGATCTGTTCACATTTTATGGAAACAATTGGGTTCCAACTTCAACCCTTGGATCCTTTCCCATTTTGTGGAAACGATTGGGTTGCAACTTCAGCCCTCGATTTCTTTTAGTTTGTAGAAAATGTGCAATTTGGATTCCTGCAAATTATACGAGTAAGATCATTGATGATATCCCTTTTTTAAAAAATATTGGGACCCCTATATTGGAATTCTGATCTATATGTAAACAAACATACATACTGTATATATAAACATAAAAATAAATCTATAAACATATATATATAGATATATATAAACATATATATATATATAAATATAAACATATATACATATATAAAACAAATAAATATATATATATATACATATACTTCTTTGCCGCCCATGGCAGGAGGCAATGAAACAAGTCCAGGAATGCGAATCCATCAAAAGCAGCCACGAGCGTCGCCCCGGGCTAAGTACAAATGATGGAGTTTGTACATATATAGTTACCACCACATTTGTTTATTGCCATACAGAATCACATGCGCATATATTTACACACACACACGTTCATATACAGATATAAATTTCTTTGAGGCTTATCCCCACAAAATGGACAAGCATTTGTATGGGTTTCCGTTGGCATTGTGGGTATATATTTATAAAGTTTTCAAATGCATCAATGTAATACTTGCTGGCCCCATGCTAACCCATGACACTATATTGAACCATTTTTTGGGGGCTCACATACTTTTATCTTTC